TTTGGTTTCCAGTAGGTGATGTCTAAACCTCTTGGATCCCTGCTTTATATAAAGTCTTAAAAATGCCTTTTTATTTTCTTATAAATATTTAATCATGCTCGCTGCCCTCAGTTTCAGTTCCTGTCAGTGTTTGCAAAAGTTTTGGTAGCGTTTGCTCAGATTCCCCTGGGGCTGTGCAGTGTTCACATTTCAGAGGGTATGGGGGGAGGGGCCCTTTGGGTTGGGAGTTGGGATCTGCAGCTCAGCCTTGGTTTTGCAACCTCAGCTGGTAAAAATCAGCTGTTGTTTTTCTGCCATCCCGCTTCTCTGCTTTTGCCCTAATGACAGCCCTGCCGCCTGCTTCATGGAACTCACAACTCCTCCAGGCAGGGCTAATCAGGAAAATCGCCACATCTTCTCCCCTTCTCTTCCTTCTACAGGTAGCTCCAGCAGCTACGTGAAGCAGCTTCTATATTTCTCTCAGTACACCACCCAACACCCAGGGTTCTAACCTGTGTTAGCTCTTATGCGCAGATCCCACCTCAGACATGCTGTTGTGCAGTTTGGGTGTTTTTTGTTGCATTTTAGATGTTCAGCTTATCGTTGTTTCAAGAGGAGATCTATGGGGACATCTCTCACTCCACCATGTTTCTTCAAAACCCTCTAGGGTAAATTTTTTTCCAGAGTCTAGATCAGTAAGACCCGAAAAACTTTCCTTCCCCAACCCCCACTCTTCCCAGTCTTTCTATATCCCTCTCTCTTCCTATGCTTCACACACTATATCTTAATACCTTTCATGAAATCATTTAGTAGTAGAATTGCAGTTGCATTAGCTTATCTTTAATGTTTTTTTCTCATACTATAGATGGGAAAACTGAGTCCCAGGGACAAAAAGAAATTTACTGGGATCACACAACCAGGTTAGCAATAAAGTGAAGATTATACCTCTCCTTTTCTAATTTTCATCCATAATTCTCCTCTAGGTTCAGACTAGAGTTTCCTTAAGACCCAGCATCACCCTATTCCTCCCACCTCCTCAGAATAAATTAGATGGGGCATTCATTGGTAACAAAGATGGTTGATGCATAAACAAAGACCTTCAGCCTTGTTCTCTGAGAAGATTAGGGAAAATCAAGCTGATTAGGGTGCATAAAGACCTCTAGGTCTAGGAAAAGGTACTTGAAAATTGAATCACTGGCTAGTTTCCATGGAGAACAGAATGAGGGTGGGGGGGAAGCTGAAATTAGAGCAATGAAATTATAATTATATTCAGTATATTTGATGCATAATTGGTGATGAGGTTTGAGAAATAGTGTGAGTTGCTTGAACAGTC